TCCATGATTAGGTATATTTAGTGTGAATACTAAATGTATGTATTTAGTTTCCATGATTAGGTATATTTAGTGTGAACACTTTAGTATTAGGGTTTTAACGTGCTTGTATATTTTCTTGAATTTTAAAAAGATTTTATGTTATATTTTAACTGTTATCACTATGCTACTTCATTAATTTGTTTAAACTCTAATCTCTTCCGTGTTGTTATAGATGAATTTATATTATTCAATGAGAATTTAAAGAAATTTTCTGGTTGCATTGTAGTGAAACAGTGGACAAAGAATGAACGCGTTTGGCAGGTTTGAAAACGGTTGGAAAAGGTAAATGGAAGGATATATCAAGGAACTATGTGAAGGGATATATCAAGGAACTATGTGAAGACCAAGACTTCTACTCAAGTTGCCAGTCATGCGCAGAAGTTTTTTCTGCGACAAAGAACAGCCGAAACAAAGCGCCACAGTATCTTCGATATGCTTGTATGGTTTCTTCTTCAGATGTGTGAGTTTTTTATCATCTGTACATTATGTATAAAAATTGATGATTATATTACTTAATATGATAAGATAAACTCCAAGTCCTTCTCCTTCGCGGAAACCATCCCCCAACAAGTCTATTTAAAGGTAAGCAGGTCTAGAAGTTACAATAAAGACTATAATGTGTATTGTGTCCGCTGCTGTGTAGAGTTCGAACCTATGACATCTCTCTTATTGTTATATTAATTGCATTATGTGGTTTGGTTATGACCTCTCACTTACAACATTTTTTTGCAGATTTTTTATCTTTGATGTTGAAGTGAAGGACATGCTATTATGGAGAAATCAGCATCAGAGGCCATTGTTTGCTAGATGAAAATATTACTAACTAATGTGAATAATATATACTTGTTTAAAAGCTGTTAGGTTATTATAATTTGAACATGATAGTGACCATGTGGTATTCTTTATTCTTTGGACATCAAATTGTTGAATTTTATAATTTGAACAATTTGAACATGATAGTGACCATGTGGTATTCTGTATTCTTTATTTGGTTAAAATCATATGTGAGGTGAATGATTTCCAATTTGATTTTATAATTTGAACATGACAGTGACCATGTGGTATTCTGTATTCTTTATTTGGTTGAAATCATATGTGAGGTGAATGATTTTCAACTTTGCAAGATATAAAACATTCCAATTTAGTTCGAATTTAATTGAATAAAATGATAGGTTATCATTTAAAATTTGTACTATAGGATTTATTTTGCCCAAACACTTATTCATTTAAGAGAAACTAGTTAAATCCAAATCTCCATTTGCCTACTTGTTGTCCTCCTTGGTATGCTCTTCCTTTACAGGTTGTTGGATTGTATAATATCCATTGAAGCCTTCAGGTATTTTATCATCAATCCTTGGTATGCTCTTCCTTTACAGGTTGTTGGATTGTATAATATCCATTGAAGCCTTCAGGTATTTTATCATCAACTTGATGAATTAATTTCAAGATATAAGACTTATCCATTGAAGCCTTATTTTATCATCAACTTGATGAATTAATTTCAAGATATAAGACTTATCCATTGAAGCTTTCATGTATTTTATCATCAACTTGATGAATTAATTTCAAGATATAAGACTTTTCTATTATAATTCTTTCATCAAATATCCCCTGTTCCTTGAATATTAGACATGTTTCTTTTCCATTTGAGGCATTAATTTATCCACTAAAATATCATTTTGAGGCATTAATTTATCCACTAAAATATCATTATTTTAACCAAGATTCCAAAATCGAATTTTTTTTAAGTAGCAATGTTATATAATTTAATTACCAAATAAAACAAGTTTTCAAAAAAATTACCAAAATGACAAACTTTGAAACTCATCCAGCAAGCATTCGCCAAATGATTTGGCGAATTAGTTAAAATGTTGTTTCAAGGCATTCGCCAAATAGAATGGCGAATTAGGCCATTTGGGAATTGGTCAATGTGTTGTCGACACATGAATTGGCGAATATGGCTAATTTTTAGGGTTTCCAATTTTTTTTTGTTTTTTTTGTTTTTTTATCATATATTTAAAGTTTTAAAAATTTATTTGTTTTTTGATTTTAATATCATTATTATTAGTAACTATAAAATATATTAATTTATAATATAAATAATATTAATATAATTAAAATATTATTATTAGTAACTATAAAATATATTCATTTATAATATAAATAATGATTGAATCGAAGGATAAATTTTTTTTTTAATAATTAATTTAAGATTTATTGATTCTTTAAGATTTATTGAGTCTTCTTCTCATTCACCACAACTTACTAATGAAACTGATCACAATGTCATCGATGAATCATACGAAGACCGAAATTTAATTTGTATTTTTTTCTTGTTGACTTGGTTGTAAGTTTATTTTTTTTAATTTAGTTGGACAAATAATTATTATTAACTTGGTCGTTAGAGTCATTTTTAATAACGTGACTCTAGCAATGCTTGTTACTAACTTTATAACTGTTTTTAGTAATTGATTGTTCTATGTAATTGAATTTATCTTATTTAAATTTAAAATATTTTAAATTAAATTTTAATTTTTAAATTTTGGTTATTTTAATATTTAAAATTTATAATGTTTTAAAATTTTATTTAAACTATAAAATTATTGATTATGTACTTGAAAAAAATTATAAGTTTTCATTTTTGTTTTATTTTAAATTTATTATTAAAATAACTATAACATAAATTTAATATTTTTATATTTAAAAATTTATTAAAACTAAAATTTGTGATTATTTTATGCGGATTTATTTGAGGATCATTTTGCCAAATATATTACTCATAATGGTTTTAGTTGGTAATCAAAAAGTCAGAAAAAAACCATTTTATGCAAAGATTTAGTTAAAATATAGAAAAGGTTGTCCTAATGATTTTGACTATCTATTTTGATTGTATTCTTAAATTATTTTAATAGACTTCAGTTTTTAGTTTTTGTTAAAATATTGTACTTTTAAAGTAAGGGATGTGTTTCATAAAAAAGAAAAGAAAAAGATGTTACTTATTATTTTCTATGTATTAGACTTATTAATATAATGTAAATAATATGCTAAAGTTAATATTTTTAGTATTTTCTAAACAAATTATCAAGTGTGTTACAATGACATTATAACATTTAAAATTTAAATAATCGTGAAATTCACATCATACTATTAACAATTTAAAAATTGAGCATTTATAAATTTCAATCCACAAAAATGATAGAGTTATTTAGAGAATCAAAAGTATATGTCTAATTGAATTAATAAGTCCGGTGTTAAATTGCTCTCTAATAGTACAAAAAAAATTTTCAACAACTTCACCCATGATCTTTCCATGCCAAACTGTTGAACATAAGATTTACCTTTCAACCATGAATTCGAATGTTGAACATGTTATTCACCTTTCAACGGTGAATTAGAATGTTGAACATGAGATTCACCTTTCAACATTTATGAACTATCATGTTGAACATAAATATAACCTTTCAATGATTATTATAAACTTTGGAACAATGTCAAATTTTAATTTTTCATTAAAAGTTTTTCGTAAGTTACAATATGAATATTTGGGTCTTAAATTTTTTTATGCTTAAGATAAACAATATTTCTTTCAATTTGTAATTGATGGAATTATGCATCATCTTTACCTACAAGACACACTTTATCTATCATTTTTGTGGATTAAAATTTTTAAATGCTCAGTTTTTAAATTGTTAATAGTATGATGTGAATTTCACGATTATTTAAATTTTAAATGTTATAGTGTCATTGTAACACACTAAATAATTTGTTTAGAAAATACTAAAAATATTAACTTTACCATATTATTTACATTATATTAATAAGTCTAATACATAGAAAATAATAAATAACAAATAAATTAATATATTTTATAGTTACTAATAATAATTATATTTACATTATAAATTAATATATTTTATAGTTACTAATAATAATATTTTAATTATATTAATATTATTTATATTATAAATTAATATATTTTATAGTTACTAATAATAATGATATTAAAATTAAAAAATAAATAAATTTTTAAAACTTTAAATATATGATTAAAAAAAACAAGAAAAACAAAAAAAATTGGAAATCCTAAAAATTAGCCACATTCGCCAATTCATGTGGCGACAACACATTGACCATGCCTTGAAACAACATTTTAACTAATTCTTCAAAGTTTGTCATTTTGATAATTTTTTTGAAAGCTTGTTTTATTTGGTAATTAAATTATATAACATTGTTACTTTAAAAAAAAAATTCTCACTTTGATCTCCTATTTATAAATTTGATTTGCCAATACTTCTTTTATTAAAATTTATGATTTAATAAATTTATGATATAGCCGCATAAATCCCGCTGATCCTTTTTTTAAAATTATTTATATAATTTTCTATTTTAAAATATTTTAATTAAATATATATGTAATATTTTTTTACACTAAGATACACTGTCATGTTATTGGACTGGATCATTGCTACCGTACTTTGTTTAATTTTTTAAATATACCTATCTTTTATTCAAGAAAAATAAAACAATACACTATCATAAAACTTCTAAAAAACAGTGGTTTGTAGTTATTTTATAAAAAAATTGATCACTTCTTTAAAAAATAATTGAAAGGTAATTATGGGATGGAAGAAAAAAAATATGTATAGGTCTTGCCTAAAAAAATATCTATGTGAGGTAATTAAATAAATAATCAATAATCATGTTTATTATCTATTTTTAAATGATAATTAATAAAACAGTAAAAAACAGAAAATTTAGGAAATAAAAAAGAAGTATTGGCAAATCAAATTTATTAAATTCTATTGACCTTAAAACCAAGTCAAAAACGCAAATAAATATCTGTAAAAACAAAACCCTTATCTAAGAAAAAAGAAGGCTTTCTTTTGAATAAGATTATGATGGATAATTCAACGAGCAAGAATGAGAATCGTGAAAAACCTGTAATGCTGTTTGGCGTGAACATGGATAATTCAACGAGCAAGAATGAGAATCGTGAAAAACCTGTAATGCTATTTGGCGTGAACATCGCGGCAGTCGATGACACTGCAAGCAATAGTTTCAACACGGGGGATGAGAATCATAATGAGATGGAGCTTTGTTCTTTTGATAAACAGGAGAATGAAAGTGATCAAGATAGGAATGAATATCCTGATTCTGGTCAAAGTTCGAACAGTGAAAACGGAAAAAAAGGTATGTATTTAGTTTCCATGATTATGTATATTTAGTGTGAATACTAAAGGTATATATTTAGTTTCCATGATTAGGTATATTTAGTGTGAACACTTTAGTATTAGGGTTTCAAAGTGCTTGTATATTTTCTTGAATTTGACATGATTATGTATATTTAGTGTGAATACTAAAGGTATGTATTTAGTTTCCATGATTAGGTATATTTAGTGTGAACACTTTAGTATTAGGGTTTCAATGTGCTTGTATATTTTCTTGAATTTTAAAAAGATTTTATGTTATATTTTAACTGTTATCACTATGCTACTTCATTAATTTGTTTAAACTCTAATCTCTTCCGTGTTGTTATAGATGAATTTATATTATTCGATGAGAATTTAAAGAAACTTTCTGGTTGCATTGTAGTGAAACAGTGGACAAAGAATGAACACGAGGCGTTTTTGACAGGTTTGAAAACTGTTGGAAAAGGTAAATGGAAGGATATATCAATGAACTATGTGAAGACCAAGACTTCTATTCAAGTTGCCAGTCATGCGCAGAAGTTTTTTCTGCGACAAAGAACACCTGAAACAAAGCGCCAGAGTATCTTCGATACGATGCTTGTATGGTTTCTTCTTCAGATGTGTGAGTTTTTTATCATTTGTACATTATGTATAAAAATTGATGATTATATTACTTAATATGATAGGATTATAAAGATTGGAAAACTCCGAGTCCTTCTCCTTCGCGGAAACCATCCCCCAGCAAGTCTATTTAAAGGTAAGCAGGTCTAGAAGTTACAATAAAGACTATAATGTGTATTGTGTCCGCTGCTGTGTAGAATTTAATTGAATAAAATGATAGGTTATCAAATTGTTGAATTTTATAATTTGAACATGATAGTGACCCTGTGGTATTCTTTATTTGGTTGAAATCATATGTGAGGTGAATGATTTCCAATTTGATTTTATAATTTGAACATGATAGGGACCATGTGGTATTCTGTATTCTTTATTTGGTTGAAATTATATGTGAGGTGAATGATTTTCAACTTTGCAAGATATAGAACATTCCAATTTAGTTCGAATTTAATTGAATAAAATGATAGGTTATCATTTAAAATTTGTCCTAACTTCTTATAGCTTATTGGTGTATAATAAAGAGTATAGGGTTTTGTTACCTCTCAACTATTTCTCCCATTAGATAGGATTTATTTTGCCCAAACACTTATTCATTTAAGATAAACTAGTTCAATCCGAATCTCCATTTGCCTACTTGTTGTCCTCTTTGGTATGGCCTTCCTTTACAGGCTGTTGGATTGGATAACAAGTGTATATTATCCATTCCATTTGCCTACTTGTTGTCCTCCTTGGTATGCCCTTCCTTTACAGGCTGTTGGATTGGATAACAAGTGTATAATATCCATTGAAGCCTTCATGTATTTTATCATCAACTTGATGAATTAATTTCAAGATATAAGACTTTTCTATTAGAATGGGTTTTCAAAAATATTCTATATTCTTCCATCAAATATCCCCCTTTCCTTGAATATTAGACATGTTTCCTTTGGGAGATACTTCAGTCCCAGGTGTAACTTGTAGTAATTTTGGGAGCATACGAGGATTTTTTCCATTTGAGGCATTAATTTATCCACTTAAAATATCATTGTTTTAACCAAGATTCCAAAATCACATTTTTATAGATATTTTTTTCAAGAACATAAAGTGTCACATTAGTCTGAATTTCATATTTGGTAGACCAGATGCTCACTAATGAGTACAGTATCTTATAATTGTAACTTTCTCATGGCTTGTATACATGCAAAAGAAGGATTTTTGGTGTATGTATCAACTTTAAAATTCCAACAATAAACAGTAGTGTTTAAATGAATAATAAAGAAGGTCATCAATTATAAACACTTTTAGAAGAAAAGACATGAGCCAGAGATACATGCCTATTCTATTATGGTGACTCTAGACTTGATTTTGCCTAAATAAAACAACACTTGTTGTGCAGAAAAATGGCCTAAGCCTCATCATCAACAACACTTAGAAATCTCCTCAACAGTTAGAAAAAATGGATCATATCTTGACAGATGACAGAGCATCATTGGAGTCTTCCGTGCAACACTTGAAACAATGAGATACCAACTTTGCATACAACTTTTAGAAGTAAATATCAAAGCTCATTAGTTATTATTGCTTCTCTCAATACATTTGCACTGCCAAGAGATAGGTTACTATAAGTTCGTCACATGAGAAGATAGGGATTCAGCTCAATGGGAGAAGTAGAATTTGAGTGGTGAAAATCATCAAATAAATAATCCCCTGCAGAAAAAGTAACCAGGCAAATAGTTAGGGATAAAAGAAATAATCCCCTGCAGAAAAAGTAACCAGGCAAATAGTTAGGGATAAAAGAAAGATTATGAATGTTATTTATTAGTCAAAAACATGTTCAAAGTGTATTCACAACCTATCATTATCATTCTCTATGAGTTCCTTGTTCCTAACACTAAGCTTCCTATTCACATCCCGCCATTGGATTTCACATTTGTCCTTGACAAAGTGAGTTCTATGAAACCAAGGTTTTTGCATTCTCTTGAGACCAGTTGCTCCATTGAAGCACTCAAACACATAGCCAACACTAAAATCAAATGCTACAGAAAGATATCAAGATAATGACCAGTTTTAATCCAATAAACAGACATGCAGCCAGTGTCTAATGAAATCTACTCTTTTAAAAAGGAAATTAAGAGGTGGTTCAGCAAAATTCAGACAAGATATGAACATACAGTCAAAGACTTAAGAAGATATAATGTAGATTGTTGCTCCAATTAGGACTAGGCTTTAGCCAATGTGGACACAACAGACTAGATTTTAGAAATTATTACCAACAGGCTTCCTCTTCCAGCCTCAACTTCATGCACCACAGACCCACATGAGAGTCTAAACATGAGAAGTCCAAACGAAGGCCAAATGTTAAATGAAATGTTACAAGGCAAAAAAAATCAAAAAGGAAACACTACACAAGTCCCAGAACAGATAAATAGTGTCTAAGGTGCATATCTTTCACCTACTGTACATGCCATGCTTCTTGAAAGAATTTAAAATAAGACATTCAGGAATAGATCTTACAAGTACTGATAAAGCAAATTGAAATAAGAGAAAATCAATGATGTGTTAGGGTAATTGCATCAGTGGTTATGAATAGTGAATACATTCTTCCTTTCTTTAGTGGATTCTAATTAGGACTCTCACTTTTTTTTTATGTCCAATAAATTTAAGATGTTAGTGAGAAATGAAAATTGTTTGGAATAACTTTGCCTATAAACCTAAGAATAATTTGGCATAGTGAAAAAAGAAACACTTCCTATAAACTAATACATTCAAGTAAAGAAAAAATGATACCTTACATGGAGGATAAAGTGTCCAAATCAACATTGAACCAGTGGTTGTGTGAACAGAAACTAATAGTGATAAAGATCATCCCTTACTTGAATAGAAACCTGGCTGGCATGTAGAACCACCGTGACGAAAAATACACATGAAAAACTGATCAAAATAAACTAAAAGTAAAGTAAAAAACCTAGAAAATTAACCAAAGTATAGTGAAAATCCCACCATACCGGCCGCATTGCAGCACCGTTATAATAACAATGAACTGAATTGGAAAATGATAGTGTCTTTAATAGTAGAACAAATAAACTTACCTCAGCCAAGAGTAATTGCAAATTTGTTTTTGGCACTATCCTTCAACCACAAAAAGATAAAACATGACTCACGAAACTGCAATGCATGACGAGCAAAATAGCGCGTGAAAACAAAGATTGGCTTCGCCCGGACTCGAACCGGAGACCTTCAGTGTGTTAGACTGACGTGATAACCAACTACACCACGAAACCAGCTTGGCAACGACTGAAGCTGTTATTATAAAACGTATCTAACGGTTTATTACAAACTCAGTTGCATTGCATATGAATTTTCTTAAGTCATTCACATCTGCCTATAAATTCTTATTTGAAATTTCATACTTTTATTATCTTCCACTTTAAAATCTAACTGTTTTTTTCTTGATTACTCCTTTTAAATTTATTCAACTTTTTGCCTTCAGTAATGTTATTTAACAATTCACTATTTATTTTCACACCAAATTAACGTTTTTAGGTGAAAATTAGATTTAGATGTTTTGATTATTCATCACACTCTACTTCATTATTTTGGATTCCCTAACAGAATATCTCATGATTGTTAGTTTATTGTTAGTTTTCTAAATGAATAAATTATTACCTTTCATTTTCTGATAAACACGCCGCTTAATTGGATATATTAGAATACACTACAAAAGATAAAAAAATTAAGATAAATGTAAAAGTTGGTCATCTTTTAAGCTCTTACAAATTATTATCCCATTGAGTATTCTACACACAAAAAAATTCCTAATAAGTCTATTTGGTCAAAAATAAAACTAAAAAAAAAATATCTTCAATGACTCTGTAATAATAACTTACCAAATCCAAAAAAAAAAGAAAAATTAATTTTTATCTTAAAAAGAACCAACGACTATTTTTAATTCACTTTCTCTAATCATAACCTATACTTGAACAATTTACTAAACAACACTTTATCTCTTAAAGTTTTTAAAATTATTCATATGTGTTCGGTGTAACCTTCCTTATTTTTAGAGCAAAGTAAGATATCACATAGATATTATGATCATTAAGAAATTATGATATTTTATTAATGTACTAGTAGAAAACTCGTGCTTCCGCACGAGTAAATTTGTTTGATATGTAGTTACGATATTTTGAGATATATCTGTTAAAATATATTTATAAATAAAATATTCGCCTTAGAAAGAAGCTAAACATGCAGCAAGGTAAGCAGGATATCCACTATCAGCAGACATTTCCGCCTATGGAAAACAACAATATCATCAATTTACAATGATTAATGCCCATGTTCCCCCATGTGTCTCATTAGTCATTATGTATAAATTTATATATTTAACATCAGTGTAGAAAGAAACTCCAACATCAGAAACTAAATTTCCAAAACGAAGAAGAAACAAATTATTTCTAAAAGAAATCGGTGAACAACCGCCGCTAGATAATTGAAATTCTCACCAATCATCCTGAGATTTCACGCAATGCTTCGGCCCATCTAGAGGTTGAATCTGCCATCAGACTGACATTGTAACCCATATCTCTGAAATACTCATCTAAAGTGATTCCTGAGATTTGAAAACAAAATAGTTAGAATATAATATATAGTTTGAAAAAAGTATTAAAACTCACATACAACACACATGACAAACTATCTCATTATAAGGACTGTTAATATATAAAGTTTCAGCTCAGGTAAGAGCTAGTGGAATATAAAGTGGCATATCAATATGCATATATTAGGACCTCATTAATTTTCACACTAAGCGCAAATTAAGTGCAGTTAACTGTCCAGAAATAACCGGTGCTGAGAAACACTACTTATTGCAATTATATGCACAATTTGACATTCCAAATATTGAATTTCATGAACAAAAAGAAGATTTAGATTTTATGAAGTAGGAAATCACCTGTATAAATTGAAGCCTCACGAGCAGCCACTGGCATGTTTGAAGTGTTAGCCACAAGTGTTGTACGCTTCATGACAAATTCTTCACGGCCACCAGGTAATGCCATTGTAAGTTGTGGAAAGTCCATTAGAACCCGAACAATCATTAAAATGATTTTGCCAGACGAATACCAGCAAGCACAAATATTTCATAGAAATAACTTAAAAG